GTTCTACTTCTTTGAGTTCTACTTGGACTGGAAACACAAGCCCAAATTTCAGCTTTCTAACTTTTCTGGTTCTCGAGTTGACGATTTTCCCGCCACAACTTTGAGGCGCTCGTACGCGGGGCCTAGACGCGCTTGAGGGTTGGTAGCGCGGTCCTGGGTTGGCACTTGGCCGGGAAAACCACTTTCAAAATTTTGGCGCCGAAGCTTGCTTGGGTGTCGAGTTGAAATATCCGGACAGACGCACACACACATACACAACACACACACTGGGGTCGTCAGAATATGTGTTTTTGCGCATTATGCAAAAACGCATAAAAATGAGAAGGAAGTACCGAGACTGATGTGCGGTTGCTGTGTTTTTGAAAGTGCTAATACGTTACTGCTGCCATAATTTGGAGTTGCATGAAAATGCAGTGTTTTATTGTGCGATTTAGGTGATATTATGTTTGTGCTGTAATTCTGCTGCGTTGCTTTGCAGAGCCATTGTAAACAATCCGGTTGTTCCGTCCTATTTTACGAATCGAGCTTTATGCTACATGCAACTGATGCAGTGGGACAAAGCTGCCACCGACTGTAAGAAAGCGCTCGATTTGGATCGCAGGAATGTCAAGGCAACAATCTTCTAGCAGATTTTTGCTAGGATAAAGTATCTAAGCATCAGTGTTGGGTCCAATGAACCAATAAGTATTTATTCAAGCAAAAATCAAAAAAAGCATCCAGCACAGCACGGGACTTCTTACAGTCCTTATGCACCAGTCGATACAAATACAGAACACCAATCCCGACTGCTGTGACGTTTTGACCTGACGGCCCTGGGCAATCCTGATGTTTCGCTCGTTGATTCTGTCTTATATAGGCAGATCATGTGGCGTGTACCTTGCCCACTCCAGAATTTTCTCAACGTCAGTCCCACAGAAGGGCATCATTTTGGAAGGCGTCAGAAATAGCGTGGAACGAAAATTTTAGCAAAATATGCGCACAGCATATTTTATTGGCGCAAATCTTAATTCATTATTCGTGAACGAAACAACCGGTGAAAACTTAGAGGGCTGATTTCAACCTGCCTCGATTTTGAGATCAAAGATCAAGGTACACAGTAATCCGAGAGCTGAGCACTGGTATGTAGCCCAAATACAGCCGAGGATTACGTCCTGTCGGTCAACACCGAAATGTACAGGCACAACATAGCTACAGCCTTTTTGCATATATCAAGTGCACCAAAAAATGCGTAAACTATATGTCTAATTCACAAAAGCTGCTGAAGTTTTATGAATCAAACTTTGCAGGCGCACTTTTTCCTTGGTCGGACTTGCGTACAGTTGGGACAGTTTGATGAGGCTTTAAAAGTGCTCACGCGCGCCAATGATTTGGCACAAAGCCAAAAGCTCAATTACGGGGACGAAATAACCGCTCAAATTCGAGTTGCAAAGAGAGAAATATTCAGGAGAGAGGAAGAGAAAAGGTCTCTAAAATTTTGTAGTAGATTTTTCAAATTGTTTGAGACGCACTACCTGTTGCTTCGGCATATTGCCTCCCGGAATGGTTACTTTGTATCGTTTTTAGGATACCCAAAAATTATTAGGGTGGGATTTAAAAAAAATGCTGAATCAGTCGGAAAGCACTAAACTTGTCGAAAGAAATATGAAAGTCTAATATCGTAGTGTGTACTGAACAGGCCAGCACTGTGCTCGAATTCAACCGAAAGCACTTGAAAAACAACACACATTTGATACATTATCTTGAATGGGCAAAATTTTTATCCCAAGTGGTAAGTTTGGAAGAACAATTAATATACCATAACACAGAAAAGTGACTTATTTCATTCCAGTGAGTAAGTTTGCTGGATTTTTTGGAGGAGGAGGAGGGGGAAGGAAGAGGGGAGAGGGAAAGGACAGGGCAGGGAGGAAAAGGGAGGGGTTACCCAGATGGAAGAAGACGCCGGGTATTTTTATGCGTTTTGTGCTGTGTAACAGCAGTACAAAACGTATATTGTCACGGGGTTGTCTGTGTGCAACTTTCAACTCAGGAACCACAAAAGCTAGGAAGCTGAAAACTTGGGGAAACGTTCCCCACCCACGTGTACCCATTCAAATTTAGCCTTCCCGTACCCGCGGATAACACGTACGGCCCCGTGAAATTTTTTTACGAGTGAATTAGTATCTCAGGAACCACGGAGTCTAGAAGGCTGAAATTTTAGGATAATGACTCCCTTCCCATGCTCAACCTTGCCTATTCAAATCCAGCGTTCTCGCGCTCTCGGGAATCACCTATGGGCTAGTGAAAGTTTTTACGGGTAAATTATTATTTCGGGAAGTGAGGAGCTGGAATTTTAGGGTAATGATCCTCTGCTCACGCTCAATCTTGCGCTCTTGAGTATCCCCTACGGTCTCGTGAAAATTTTGGCGGGTCAACTACTAACTCAGGATAAAGATATTCATCCTTCAAGTTTTCGACTTTAGTTTTCATGCGCCGGTGCGTGAAATTCTTAACTCTTTTCCAAAGTTTGAACTATTTTTGCATAGACAAAAGTACAAAGCAGTGAAAATCATTAATAGGCAATCGTTGGATGGGCTGAATTGCACAAAACGCATGATCGCGCCGGCTAGTCTGGTGCGCTTTGCTATTTATTTGAGTAGTATCGCAGGACCATGTTGATAGTCTTTTGCGATCGTGGCTGCATTCCTTGCACACTTAATGTGGCTTGCATTAGTTCGGATGCCAATTTCATTGCAGAATAGAGCAGGAAATCAGTCTGCAAACATATTTGAATAGTCTTATCGACAATGACCTGGCAAAGAAACTGGATGAATTGAGGCAAAAGAGGAAAAACGACGGAGAAGAAATTGAGGTCATATCCGACGATGTAGAAGACGAGGAGCAGGTCTTGAGAATGGAAGCCGAATCAAATAAGAATAAATTAAATAGCTTATTTGCTCAGGTGAACTCTTTTTTATCAATTCGGGTGTGAATATTATGGCCCTGACTGTCGAATTGCCGATGGGGTTTCGACTTTGACACAGAAATGGTAATTATTTTGCTTTTCTTTGCAGGTGGATGAAAGAAGGAGGAAAAGAGAAGTGCCTGATTTTTTGTGCGGTAAAATTAGTTTCGAGCTATTACGTGACCCCGTCATCACGCCAAGTGGTATAACTTATGACCGTGCCGATATCAAGGAGCACTTGCAGCGAGTAGGGCACTTTGATCCGGTAACCCGGGCACCGCTCACTGCTGATCAGCTGATACCCAATCTTGCTATGAAAGAAGTAAGTGAGATTAAATCTGATTTGCTAACTTGTTTTCTGAAATTGCTTAATTATCACTCTTTTCTTTAAAATTTTCTGTTGGTGTTGGATGATCGATTGTACAGTTTATGGTCAGAGGACAATTCCGTAAGGGGCGCCAGTATAGATGCAGGTCATCGTGGTATTCTAGTAAGAAGATTATAAAATCATGAGCCTCATGCATCCGCATGTATTTTCTGTCAGAACAACCACTCTAGTTATTTCGCTACAGTCTATGTAGATAAGTGTCTATGATTATACAAAGAAAATGTGGGAGTAGGAATTGTATGAGGAGGCTGGAAGTGCAGTGTCTCCACCTTACATATCTTTGGATTCTCCGTTTTTCGGTTGGCGGCCACTAAACAAGTCCGTATGTTGCCTGGAAGAGCTTCCGTATCCGTGCCGTGGCTTGAATTCGCTATTTGTATAAGCTGTTTTCTGCTGGCGAAATCCGAAGGGATGCAGGAAAGAGTAGAAAAAAAGGCCTAATTTCAAACCGTTGGATGTGTTTCAGTCGTTGAAAGGTTTTAAAAAAAATAAATGGTAACGCGCACCAGACTGGCCGGTGCGATCATGCGTTTTGTGCAATTCAGCCCATCGAGCGATTGCCCATTAATGATTTTCACT